GTGCCGATGAAATGGGAACATTTGTTATTTATGGGCAAAAGAAGGGCTGTTCTATTTGTGTTGTGATAGTACAATGTTCTAAGTGTTTGGGCAGCCCCAAACACTGCTGGTGGCATGGTAACTAGAGGAGCAAAACTTGGATGGCTTGGGATGTAGACAGCCCATGCTGGTATATTTGTAACAGTGGGTTGCTACCCAGAAAATACCCCTGTGGTTAAAAGTGCTCAAGGGAGTGGATGTGCAGGCATTTCTGGAGGTAACCTGAGTCCTGGCAAGAACTCCTGAGAATCACTAAGAGCATTTCCATTTATTTCAGTGGCTACTTTATGGAGCATGAGAGTTAATTTTGTGGGTAAATGACTTTTCCATGAGGAAAACAGTATCGCCAAATCAGAACCCAAGATCTCCTGTGGGACCATCCCAGGTCATGGTAGCAGCTCTGAGGCTGTTCCCCAGACTGTAGTCTAGATTCTAACAGGAATGCTGTCACATCTAGGATAGCCTGTGCTCTGTGATGGTCAGACCAGTGCTCCAGCAAACCAGAGAAGGAACACAAGGATATAACAGACAGTTCTGACTGTGGCTGTCCTGGTAAGTGGAGACAGAAGGAGCTTTGGTGATGATGCATCTGCTCCCCTGGAATATGACAGGGTTTGTTAAAGAGGAGCCAACAGTTCAATTGCTTTAGTATTCCCCTGACAATCAGGAAACACCACAATATGGGAAGCTTCATCCTTTCTTGTGTCATTTAATGGTAAACTTGAATAATGAAACCCAACCCCCAAATCCTACATAATGTAATTATATTAATAAATGCAGTTCATCCATCCCACATAATATCTCCTGGTTATACAGGGGGTTTCTCCCCTCCTTTTGCCTTTGTTCTCTTTATTGAGTTGATCATCCCCTTACACTGCGTCATGAGGAGTAAATAACCTCAGTTATCTGTCTTTGTTACAAAAGAAACATTTGCAACCTTTACAGTCCCTCTTATGGATCCTCCCCAGTGCACTTCCACTTTCTCTGTCTTTCTCTTTCCCCTCCTGCCTTCGTGTCTCCCTTTTGACAAAGAATGACCAGAAGCACATGTAATGATCCAGACTGGGGATTGCTGCTGCTGAGGTGCCTAATAGGATTATAGGATTTTCAGCATTAATCCTTATCCTATTCTTTAGGCAGACTAACCTTTTACTTAGATTTTTGCCTCCTGTTGCACAATTATTCGACTCTTGGGTGATTTCTTTACAGCTGCTGTTGTGTCCTTTTTCAAGGTGATTGTAAGGGGTGTAGACCTCCAGCACGGAGCAGTGTAGGAACTGTCAGGCTGTTGTGGTTGTTTATTTAGTGCTGCAAGTGAGCTTTTCCTAACTCACTGATGGATGTCACCACTTCCTTGCCTCTCTCTATGCCCTGAGGGTGTGTGCTTGCTTTAGCCCAGACTGCAGAACATTTCTGTAGCTTTAAATGTAGTAGCTATTCCACGTCAAGCTCTGGGAGGTTTGATGATCAGGATATCTGCTTCTGCACAGAAGGTAAAAGGGCCAAGGCTTTCTTGGGTACACAACCCATTCAAATAAGCTTTGAAAGATGGAAATGTGAGGGGAGTGGGTTGACACTGGTTTCCTAAGGAAATGAGACTTAAGTTGTCTTTTTTTCCGCTGCTGCAAAACTTTTGGATCTGCAAAGTGGTTGTGGCCAAAATAGACGGGTCAGAGAGGTCTCAAATATAAGTTTCCTACATTATTCCTAAGAATTAGTGCTGGATAGAAGACTGTTTCATAGCACTGTCTGCCAGGAGGTAAAAGCTGCAGTGCTGACTCCATAGGTAGGTCATTAATTTGGCTTACAGAGAGTGCCTGTAACACAGAGAGTCACAGCATGTCTGAGTCCCAGCTCAGCTGGCAGCTGTGGGAGGGAACTGAGGGGCAGTCTTGTGATTTTGGGGATGTGGGAAGAAAGCTGAAGGTCCTGTGATCTGGTTCAGAGAACATCAGAAGCATGGCAGAAGAAGAATATAGAGATGAGGAGGACTGGGGAATTATGTGGTTGGAATTGGTGTGGCTTGGGCTGCTGTCTCTCAGATTGGGGGTGTCAGGATGACTGCCAGGGAGCAGCTTGTTTTGGAGGCAATGGACTGATGTGCAGTGGGGGAGCAAGGAGCACAGGAGCTCCAGGGCGTGGGAGAAACAAGCAGAGAACAGCAGAGGAAGAGGGTGTTGGTACTGAGTCCATAACAGAGAGAAGGGACCAAGTAGGATGTGATAAAAGAGCAAACCAACAGCGGTTAGGAACAAGGTTTTTCAGGCATGGCAAGCAAAGATAAGTTACTTCAGCTTGTTAGGCTGGGAATGGGGGTGACAGGGATAGGGGAGAGAGGTTTAAACATGGGTGCATCCAGGTGGGGTAGAAACCACACTAAAGAGGTGGAAAAGAGACTTTGAAAAAGAAAGACTTTATGGCTTTTAGGGGACAAAGGAGGGACAAAGGGTCAGCCTTAGGTTTGTTTATAGCGTGCAGAAGGAGTGCTTTGGCAGCATTCTGAGCACAGAGATGAAGGAAGGCAGGAATCAACAATAAATTTAATTATGCAGGAAGCTTGGATGAGGGGGAAGTGAGAATGATTGTCTTCAGCAGGGTAGAGGAACTGAGGGAAGAGATGGAGGATTGATGTGTGTGTTTGAATTAAATCAATTGTACTCAACCCTGATCCAAAGCCAAGTGACTTCAAGAGAATATCCCTTTACTCAAATATTTGTCTTAAAAACCCCAAATAAGCTTTACAGAAATGCCCAAACATATTTTGTCTTCCATTGTAGAGTGTACCCAGAGATTGTGACCCCGAGCCACTCAGTAAGCCACAGCAGTGACTGGCTTCCAACATTCCTTAAAATAATTTTCAGTCTGGTAAACCACAGCAGAAATAAATGTCCATATATGCACACAATGCACTGCAAGGCAAATCAGTGAAACTCTCAATCTCTAGTTTAGGGAGATCACATAATCTTATTAACTGTTCCTTGCTCTGCACATGCAAAATTATTGCAATTTGCTTCCCTCACAAGATTTTCTTTTCCAAGTATTTATTGTCTGCAAATAATTATTTTCTGGTATTCCTATAAACCATTTGCTTCTTTCAGGATCCAGTGACTTTCTATTGCCAGCACAAACTGAGGAAATGAATATCAATCATTCAGTGATTACTTGCAGGAAATAAAAGTGTGAGATAGCAGCCAGCCTAGGCCAAGAAGGAAGAACAGCATTGCAGTGCTTTTTATAAGGAGAGCCAAAAATATTTTTCATGTGCTCAGCTGTTATTTTCTGAATATTGTAGCTTTCTTCCTTTTGTGAACTCTAGCTACTTTGGATTAGGTCCTGCAACCACTGAACTTGGAATATTTGTTATTAGGCTCAGTGAGAACAGGATTGAGCCACTGTGTGTGTGTTCATCCTTGCCTTAACCCATGTTGCTGTTTGGTGGGATACTGCAAGGGACAAAAAAGCTTTTGGTTTCCCAGATTTTTTCTGAGTGTTTATATCTGATCCTTGCAGATAGCACAAGCCCCTCTGAGTGAAATAGGTTTGGAGCTGACTGCTTCCAGCAAATATTTCTGAAACCAGTGTGAAGCCTCTGTAAAATGTTGAATCTCCTCACTCAGTAGCTGCTTTTCTGAAGTCTGCATTGTGTTTCAGGTTCTGCTAAGCCATGCTACAGTGAGCATGATGAATAGCAGGCAAATTGCCTTTGGTCATTTCTTTGGAAATCAAGATGTGTGCTGGCTCACCCCATTCTTTCATAAATACCTTCCTGAGCTCCGGGAAGTAAGATGGTGCACCATATCCCAGAGTGTTAATTTTTAATGTCTTATACACGTAATGGACTTGACTGTAATTACGAGTCCCTCGGCACAAAGTCACTGCTGGCAGGGTGGAAAAAGATGACTGCAGGTCCATGTGGCTCCACAATTAGGGATTGAAACATTGATCATTTTCATTCCCAGGAGCAGAGGAAACAGTTGTGTGAACTTAAAGCAAAAGCTTCAATGGAAAGATGGGTCATTGCAAGCCAATAAACATTACCCTGCAATCTATTAAATTTAGACTTTGCAGCATCATCCTCCTGCTTTGACTAAAACTGACTGAAACCTGGGCAGGGCAAAGTGGTTTTGACAAGCCTATGCTTACATCCAGAATAATCCAAGTGAATAAGCATGTAGGCAGTGATGCAGAGACAGCCCAGTGTAAAAAATTCTCCATGTTTTTTCACAGTAGTGCTATTTTTAACTTGCAGATCCTTGTTTCTTTCTTACATGAAATCTTGAAGCTGACAGCATCCCTTTCAGACTTAAAAATGAAAGGAAGCTGTCTAAAAGAACAGCAGAGCTGGGATTTTTAGGCCTGATCATGTTGGCATATCTTGGTGGGCAGATTCCTCCTCCTTTCAAGAGCCCAAACTGACTTCACTGAACAGTGCAAGGTTCTTTTCTATACCAGATTTAATGTAGGATAAGGCACCCAAACTCTTCCTCCAGCAGAATCTGTATCCTGCTTCATCATTTGCCAGCTTTCCAGAGTACTCAATAGAGGTGGAAGGGATTTTAGACAAATAATTCTCTCTCTGCAAGCGATGCTCCTGTATTCCTGGTGTTGCAGTAGATTGTTTCAAGATCAGACTTTTAATTTCCTTTTGAAAGTATCATGGTAGCATTTTTTGTTTGGTTTGGTTATCTTGTTTTGTGTGTAACTCATAAGGTACAAATTTGGAAACCATTGCAAAAGGAAAACCAGCCTGAATCTCTGCTCTTCATTCAAGTCACTGGCAATAACTGCTGTGAATTCAGTGATGCAAAATCACTCCTGTGCTGTACTTAGTGCACTCAAGCTTAAATCAAATCCTAACACTTTTTACCACTGCAAAACCCACATTTAAAACACGGGGGGAGGATCTTTCCCTGTGTCAGGAAATCAATTTAATCCGTTTATTGTTTGTTTGTTTTTTCCAGGCTTATATTTGGCACACTTTACCCTGCATATTATTCTTACAAAGCCGTGAAATCAAAGGACATCAAAGAATATGTGAGTAATGAGGTTTGTGGCTGTGCTGGGGGCTTGTTTTCTAAGATTGCTTCTCACCACATTGGAAAAGTGTTTTCTGCATTCTGGGAAAGCTCATAAAGCAGTGCAAGGGGCAGAGTGGCCTGAAGGTGGATTGGTTGATTTCTGGGCACAAATGAGACTTGGGTTTGTGCTTCTGGCTCCAGTGCAGAGCTGATGTGCTCCTTGACAAATGCACGCTGCTCCTCTGGTAGTGAGATATACAGCCGACTTAAAAGGCATTTGGCATCCAGAGCTTTGTGTGCTCTTCTTTGTTTCTGAAGAGCAGCATAAATCAAAGACTTTTCAAAAAGCCTTGAAGCTTTAACTGCTCATTCAAAACAAGGATAAGAGGAGGCAACTAGAAGTACATATGACTGAATCCTCAGACAGAAACATCCTTCCTTGCAGAGTGACCTATTTACAGGCAGGTCTGGCAGCTGGGTGTGCTCTCTGTTTTCTTTTTGCTGAAAAATCTTCCCTGGGCCCTGGTTTCTAAAGGTATATAGGGCCATCAGGGAAAGTGAAATGAGGGAGAATAAAAAGCACTTGGATGATGTTGGGGTCCTGTAGGATTTGTAGTGCTCTTCACAACCTCTTTTAACTTCATTGAACCCAAATCTTGACTTCAATCCTCTCAAGATCCCAGGGATAATAAGTGCATTTTCTCATCTGGATAACAGCAGGGATGTCTATCCCATTAAATCTTTAGTGCAAACTCAGTCTGGGGCTCACTGTGGCTGCTAAAAGTTTTGTTTATAATTTTCCTCCTTCAGAAAATGGTTTTGGTATTTTGAGAATAATAAGTGTTAGAGAGAACAGCAGATACTTAAGGTAAAATGTCTCTTCAGCCCTTGCACAGCTGTGCTTCTCAGGGCCTCTTTGCCTGAAAATGCTGAGGATGTGCATGAGCATCTCCAAGCAGTGTCTGCCACCGATACTTAACATTTCTACAGTCCCTTACTGGAAGGTATTTTGTTGGATGGTCCAATTCCTGTTGGAAATTTAATTGTAAAAAAGGAACTCACATCAGACACTTGTGGTTGTGACGCAAATGTGAGAACAGCTGATCTAAGACCTGGTCTGCCCTTACAACTGATTTTAGTTTAATATAGCAGTTGTAGCAATGTATCCATTAAGGCCTGATTAAAAAAAAAATAATACATGAGGTAATAATTTACACTGACACAGGAGGAACCTTCACTTATTAATCAAAACTTATATCACTCTAAAGAAATTTTATTCTGCTTGGTAATAGTAATGTTGATGAATGTTTTAGGGTGATCCAAGCCCATCCACACCAGGTCTTGGTTTGTGTTTAAAGGTTTTGCTGGCAGTAATGTCTAAGTGATAGAGCCATGTTGGCACTGAGGCTCTGAGGAGTCACAGTTATATAAGAAGTCTGGCAGAAGCTGCACTAGGAAGATGATGCTGTCAGGCATTTGGCAGTGCCATTATTGTTGTAACAGTACATATATATATAAATATGCACATAAATATAAATCCCAGGAGAGCAGTTATGTAGCAGAGTGACAGGTGCTCAGGGAATAATTCCAGTACCTACAGGGAGCGGAGACTCTCAGTACCATCCCCACTGTATCAGGGAGAAGATGAGGATATCATTTTCAAGCTGGTGAGATCCAGATTTATTGACACCTTCATCTTCCATACCCCAGAGCAGCACCTGGTGTAGGTATCCCTCTTATACTGTCTTCCCTCTAAACTTTTCTTAGCCTACTGCAATTGTACCAGCCTTAGCTATCATGGTCCAGTTCTCTAATTCACAGATTTTAATGGTTTTTCATGGATTTTCATGGGCTTTACTTCCTTAAGCTTTCTAACATTCCAGCAAAGCTGCTTAGCGATCTCCATTCTCAAATACACCTAATTAAACAACTGTTGTCAGTTAAATTAACAACCTTTGTCTCACCATCTTTTTCCATCCTAAGAAGAACCAATACTACATACTTCAGAATAGTTGAGCTGTGCTTTTAGATGCCATTTAATGCTCAGTGACAAAAATTGCCAAACTCCTGAATTACTTGAGTCACTACAGTTTATCTGACCAAGTCACCATCTCCAAAGACTCTCTTGCTGTCACCCCAAAGGAAACCATCATCCCTGGTAGTGGAGTTTCTCTAGCTGAACAGACACAGCACAGCACATGCTCCCACTACCAGCATGAGGTAAAACGTTTCCCCCTAAGCCCAAGGCAAGGGATTTAAACTATTGCCCTTGCCCTTGTCACTGCACTGGGTGTGGGTGGGAGCAGGCACAGCCACTCCAGGGCTGCCCACTGAGTCATTAAGTTGTGGTGAGTTGATTATGCTCCTGAGCCCTGAGTTATGGGATGGGCAGTTACCTCTTTACCTTTTTCTGTCTGTAAGTATTATGTAAGTAATTAGATTTTGTCTTAACTGGAATTTAGCCAAAAACCTTATGTTAACATTTGCTATTAACATAAGCCAAGTGAGATTTTTAATGCCCTGTGACAGGGCTGTCATGCTCTACTGGCCAGTGGAGTTTCTGTAAGGACAGAGTCAGGCTGCTCTTCTTTTCCTGAGACCAGTCCTAAAGGCCACAGTCACCTTCCCAAGGGCTGTGTAAATCTGACACGTGTTATGTGCTGAAGTGGGGCAAACTGGCACCTTCAAGTCCACAGCAATTGCTAAATACACAGTGGGGAGGGTGAGTGGGTAAGAATTTCTGTGCCTGTGAGAGTTATTCTGTGCACTTGTGCCTGTAAGAGATAGTTTGAGACTGTTTTTGTTTACCAGGTCAAATGGATGATGTACTGGATCATATTCGCACTCTTCACGACAGCAGAGACATTCACGGATATCTTTCTTTGCTGGTGAGCACCAGAGGGGAGAGGCTTTTTGGCATGAGATGAAAAGAAAATAGAAGTGTTTACAAGGGGGAAAATGGCACACAAAGGTGCACTGACTCCTGTACAAGGGTTCAGCATTTTCAAGTGCACAGAGGGTTTTTGTCTGCAGGAGACATGCTTCCTTTCTCAGTGCTGTCACAGAAAAAAACAAGAAAGAAGTGGAAAGGCTCAGTGGTATCTCATTAGTGGGAAATCATTACTGGAGTCTCAAGCCCTGCCTATCAGAGAAGCACAGCTTACTGCCCTGTTGGATGCTTGCAGAGGTCATCACATAAATAGCAGTTGATTCAGCTACAGGCAGGGTTTTAGACTTGCCTGACTGTATTCTACAGTAAATACATAGACTGTGGATCAGGTACAAACAGCCCTGCAGCACAGGACTTTGTAGGTTGCTGTGTGGGTGGTTATTCCTGGGATGTTTTGCCTGGCACATTCCTGGTTAGTCTGGGTTTCTGGTTTGATGGAGGACAGTGACAGTCAACACCGATGTGACTCTTGGGTGCCAGTGGAAGGATGTCTTCTGTCAGGATGAGAGCACATAAATGCCCATTTATCAGATTCAGTACTTTTTGTATGCTCAGGTTTGAAATTGTTTGCTGCTTGGTTGCCCTTTTTAGTAAGGCCTGTCTACCAGAAACCAGTGAGATCAGTAGATTTTAGGATGAAAATTTAACTGTAGTTCATTGTCCTTACAGCCTATTCCTGCATGGCACTGCATGCCTTGAGTGAGTCCTCCAGATGGAGGAAATCGGGAGAACTTGGCAACATGTCAAATCTATTGAAAAGGAGATAAAAGACTTTAATGTCTATCTAATTTGCATGCAGATCTGACTCTTCTGTGTTTATCTGGAGCTTTGTGGCTCTTTTTGGAGGATGAATTATGTGGGTCTGTCAGGAGGAATGGCAGAGGGTTCACCCAGCCTGTGAAATCAAGTGTGCTGTAGAGATCCTCAGTGAGGTGGGAGATCAACCTGGCACATCCATGCTCAGAGCAGAGCATTGCAGAGGCCCATGGTGTCAGACCTGTGTGCTGGCTGGCCCAGCTGGCTCAGTGACAGCACTGTGTGGCACAGCAGGAGCCTGTCTGGGTGCAGCTGGGCTGGTCTCTGCACTGCTCTTTCTTGCAAAGACTAACAATCCTTCATCACGCTGCTGGCAGCAACATGCCTGCCCACATGAAGATGCTGCTGGGTGGTCAGTCTTGAGCTCTGGGCTCTGTCCTCCAGAAAAAAAGATTGGATAATTTCATCTCAGAATGTACCTGACTGCTTGTTACAGCTAAAGCATGTCTTGTTGTTAATGTCCTCTGTATTTTGCAGCCCTACCTGAAAGTCAGGGTGGATCTGCACCTTTATGTTGCTTGGACAACAAAGGTTCTTGTATTTCAATTGTAGTCCCATAAGTGTTAGTTTAAAAGCTGAGAGGCAGAGAGATGGAAAGTGCATAAATACATATCAATGAAATTTGGTTTGCTGGTTTGGTCTTTGCTTTCAGTGACTGGGGATACTGTGAAGGCAGCACCTGTGATCTTTGCATTTATAAAGCTCCTCATATCACATGTCAGAGTCTCTTCCAGACCATTAAATAGTGGTCCTGATAACCAAGTAAAGATTCATCCACATGTGTAATTGAGATGTGCTCAAAACTGAATCAATACACTTTAATCTTTAGATTTTTTGGTAAGCAAAACCTGCCTTGAGCTAGGCTGGCAAAACCCTACCTGTGCTGAGTATCTCTAATTAAGGGCAGGGGTTAAACTGGGAGCAGACAGTAATCCTCTTTTTATTCTAGGTTTCCATTCTACTATGAACTCAAAATAGCTTTTGTAGCTTGGCTGCTGTCTCCGTACACAAAAGGCTCCAGCCTCCTGTACAGGAAATTTGTTCATCCAACTCTGTCTTCAAAAGAAAAGGTAATCACAGGTGCCTGGATCCTCCCTGGGTGGAACAGAACTATGGTGTGTTTACTCCAGTCCCTGTATCATTTGCATGGAAGGATTGGGAATTGCTGATTCTCTTCCTCTGTCATTTGATCCCCTCTTTTTGGTTGGTGTTTTTGTTCTTTGTGGTTGTTGTGTTTTTAAATACTGGCATCTGTTCAGTGTGCTCACACTTATTAACTCATTTTGGTGCAGTTGAGAAGGTGGGAGGGAGGGGGATAAAAATACCTCCTGAGCTGCTTTGCATATACTGGCTGATTATAGCTGGGGTGCTCTGTTGTGGCTGGGTATAACAAATAGAGAAACTTGGTCTGGCAGCCAGGACTCCTCAACTTTGTTCCCAGCTCTGCCTAAAACGTTGTACAGCAACGAGACAAACAGCCCAGGCAGTCTAAAATGGGCTTAGCAAGCACATGTCTGGCTGTGTAGTGTAGTGAAAAAAGGCATGTAGCATGTTAAAGTCCTAGATTAGAAGTGTCTTGCTCAAATTAAAGATGCTAATTTTGGGTGGGGGACATTACAACTTGGATCATTTGCCTGCTTGGGAGATTCCTGTGGCTGTGAATGGGACACTGTCAGGCAGATCCATTTGGCTCACGAGAATAAATGGACCAAAATCAGCTATTGTCACATACCAAAATGAAAACTGCTGATTGATTAACTGTTTCCTGCACTGGCAACCTGGAAATGAAAGCTCTGCCTTTAGCCACAGGCAGTGAAGTAGCAGCTGGATCTCAGTCCTGTCCCAGAAGGACAGTGGGAATCAATCCCCTGTCTCTGCTTCCCTTTGCTTGTACTTCTCCCAGGTAGGGCTCATGCATTCTGAGTTGCCACCTCTTGCCTATGGGGAATAGGGAGAGCAGCCAGAGCTCCTCACAACCTCCAGTCTCTACTAACCCAGCACATCTACCAGCTGAGTACTAGCAGTCATTACTATCATTATCATCCACTCCCCAGTGTCCTGAGGGAGAGACAATAAGGGCAGGAACCTCCCTAAGTGTTTCACCGTATATTGAGCAGTATCAAAGCCCAGAAGCTCTGTGCCTAACAATTCCATAGGCATCTGGAGCTGGGCACCACTGTGATGTGCAGGGATATTTCTGAGGCCACCTGTCCTGGACACAGGGCAGTGCAGCTTCAGCTGCCCAGTGTCATCATATGAGTATTTTTAACTATGAGGCAATCCCATTTGTCTTTGGAGTGCATGGTTTGCAAATGGCTATCAGTCCATGTTGCTAAGGCAGATTTCTCTTGCTTCCAGGATCCCAGCTTTGGGTCCCAATCTTCCATTTGTGGAATAAAGGCTTCCCCAGTCCTGCAATGGGAGTTACTGCTCCCAGCAAACCTTTCCTCTTTGCAAATGTTGGCTGTGAACTTCTTTCCAGCCACGGTGGAGGACATGGAGGACATCTACCTCCATAAAGTATAACCTGACTCTGCCAAGAATTTGAGGCTGGGAGCATAAGCTTGAACTTGTCCTTCTTGTGCTTTTTTAATTGTTTGTTTTGTGTTCTGCTCTGACAGGAGATCGATGACTGCCTCATCCAGGCAAAAGACCGGAGCTACGACGCCCTTGTGCACTTTGGGAAGCGGGGGCTGAACGTCGCAGCCACGGCAGCCGTCATGGCAGCTTCAAAGGTAAAGGTGCAGGTCAGGATGGTGCCTCATTAACATTTCTCTGCTTCCACTGCCAGCAGCAGCAGGCACAGTGTGGAGGGGGAGAGATGGTGGGGGTGGGGATTCTCTCATTATTTTCTATAGGGACCTATAATTTTGTGTAGTGACAGGAAAGAAGATGAAGTTCACGAAGGCTAAAATTTCTTCTGCAAGGCGTACACGTAACATAACTGGTGTGTAATTCTCTGCTGTGATGTTATGTGAGAGTGGATGTGCCATTAGTTGCTTTTGGAGGACCAGTAGATACTGGATGAGGGATCTCATCTGAAGGGGTGTATCCTGTATTCTCTTCCTGGCTTAGAGTCAAACCCAGAAAATAGCTGTTATCTGTTGTTCCTTTTCTTGCATAAGAGCTGTTATCTGTTGTTCCTTTTCTTGCATAAGAGCTGCAAGGATTTGATACCTGCATTTTGGGGTCCTGCCCTCTGGCCATGAGCTATCATGGCTTAGAGTCGATGTGCACAGTGTGTTTTGCAGGGGAGACTTGGCTACCACGCCTGTTACAAAAGGATAGTTAGAAACATATGAACAAGGATGGTACTGGTAGTAGGAACAACATGAAAATGGGAGTTGAAGGAAGTTATTTTCCTCTGCCAAATGCTTTTCCTATGACCTAAGGCACATCACTTTAGTACGTCTTGGCCTTACTTCCTGAAAAAATGCATAATGTATCCTTGGGAGGCCAAATACCATAAAGCTTATAAAGCCTGTTGAAAGCAAGGTATTACAGAAGGGGAGAGCCCAAAGGGTGTGCCATGCTCATGGGATCACAAGGATATGCTAAACTCAAAAATTGTCTCCTTTTTCCCTGCCTAGCATTGTGCAGACTATATTGTTGGGCCTGTCTTCTCCTGAGCTGTTGCTCTTCAGTAGGGAGACTCTTCTAACCCAGGGACTGTGAGATAAACCAAACTTGGACTGAAACCTGGGATAAACGTGGAGCTAGGGCAGTGCTGTGTATCATATGCCCAATGAACTAACATTTTTGTGATGCCTTCAGGACACTTAGCACTTTTGCTGCTGCCATTTAAGCCTGAAGAAGTCACACTGGGGACATAAATAGGCTGTAGGAATGCCAGTTTTGCAGCACTGCCTTTGCTCTGAGCCCCTTTCTACAAGGTGCTGCAGACTGACTGTGCTAGAGCTGTTTTTAGGTCACAGTGAGAAACTATTTGTGAATCCCAAAGGAGTTCTGGCTCCTGTCTAGGTAGCCCCTGAATATGAGAAGCTAAACAGTAACCCAAACCCAGAGTGCCAACCTGTTCCTCCATCAGGACTGCAACAGTGTCTGCATCAGCTGTTCAACTGGAATGAACAGTCAGCACCACAGTTTTCCTTCCCACTGTTCCACTTTTCTGCTGTTTTTCTTAAGACTCTTCTCTGCCTTAAAATGTGGCTCCAGTGGCAGTGGGGAAAAGAGGGAAGAGTCTCCACGGTACAAGGAAACTGTTGTTTTTCATAGTTGATGAAATTCCTCATTCAGGGGTGGAAGAAAACAACTCTGTGACTCGTGTGGTATTATTGCATTGCACATCTGCCAGCACAACTTGAGAGAAAACTGTTAAGATATTGCAACCTGTAAATGGGCCAGAAGAGTCTTACTTGCACACTACTTTGGGGAGGGGAAAATTATTTGTTAATAAGATTGAGAGGTTGTTATTGAATAGATTGATTGTTTGATTTTTACAACAAAGCAAGGACTGTTCAAGTATTTCCTTCAGCCTTGACATTAAAATTACTCTGAATGTATGAGGAAAAATAGGACCCCTGGCTTCCTTCACTACTTTGGCTTTGTCATCCAGCAAGTTGCTTGTTTCTCTGTGCCTCAGGGTGCAGATCCAACAGAGTGTGTGAGCCAGTCTGACAGCTCTCCTCCAAAATGGGGTAGTGCTCCAGCTCCCAGTGTGCACCAGCATTTTGGATCTCCTCAGGTTATCTCTAATCTATCAGAAAGTTAATCCTGAAAGAAAAAGAAAGGGGTATGTTCTTTTGAGCCCACAAACTTATCTCTAGTGGCTGAGCCAGCATAAGGAAAGGGATTGAACTGCATTGTGAGGAGCATGGCCAGTAGAAAGGAAAGCAAGGTCATTTCTTCCTGGTCTTGGGAAGCAGACAGTTTAGCTGTGCTGTTCATGGAAGTACACACCAATCTGTTCCCAGTGTAATATCCAGGGATGGTTAAAGCAACTTCTGTCCCTTGCCCTTCTGAGACAGAATGTGCCGCTGTCCTGGCAGGGAACTGCCTGGTGTGAGTTCCAGCCTGGTGTGCTGCAGTGCAGGAGTGCTGAGCTGGGCTTCCTCAGGTGTTCAGGATGTGATCGGGTGGTGTGGATGCGTCTCCATGGAGCCATCCCTGCTGCTGAGGAGGGAGTTGTTTCCCAGAGAGGAGTGGTGCAACAGGCACCACTGTTTGCCCTGGTTTTCAGCTGCTGTCACCTGCATGTCACCGCCCTTCCTTGCTCACTTGAGAAGGTATAACTGAGCTGGATTATCCTGTGTGAGAGAAGTTTAAATGACTAATTATCTGGAAAACATTTTGAGCAGACAGATGCCAGACCAGACTGCAGTGCTGTCCTTAGGGGGGAAGTTTCCAGGGAAGGAGGAAAGAGAATTCTATTTCTAAGGCTTATCATGGCTTTTCCAATGCCAAGATTTAAGGGAATCCAGCTAGTCTGTAATAAGTGTTGAGTGTTGATGGCAAAGTGAGCCATTAATTTGGTTTCAGCCTTTAAAGGATTGTGTTACAGGAACCTATAGAGATGATGATTTATTCAGTAGCAATGTGCTCCTGCAGCTTCCATGGAAAACATGGCTTTTACCATCAAATGAATGTGAGAATTATTTACTGCTTCACTTGGATTACTGGGTGAGGAAAAGATGCTTTTTTATGCAGAAATGGACCTTCAGGCTTTGCAAATCAACTTCATGTAATGGCAATACACACTGAGCTGCTGGGCTGAAAAGGGACTCTGTACAGATCTGTTTTCAGTAAATTAGCTGAAATCTAATGGCTCCTACACCTGGAGAACATGTCTCATGCTGTGCCTAGCCCTGTCCTTTCCGTTCAGTCTGAGCTGTGATCCATCATGGTCTTTTTTCTTTCATTATGAGATCTTTGGGCAAGGCCCATCTTTTAATTCTTTTCATCATCCTATTTTTTTATCCATTCTTTTTGTCCATCATATTTTTTAATCCACCCTGTTTATCCATCATCTTTTTATTTGTGCAGCACAATGCATCTGCCTCTCTGATTACCATTTGTGTGTGACAGGCTGCTGCTTATATATTTACTGCAGGCTAAGATGCTGCAAGCTGTGCACAGCCACACCTTCCTTACCTCTAATCCCCTGTCCCTTTCCCTTTTTTATCTTAAATACCCTGTGGTTTCAGTTAGCCAACTGCAGGCTTGTCCTTGCCCCTCCTCTTGTTCCTTGCTCCTGCTCTGTTTTGTTTTGAAGCCACAGTTGTGCTAATGCTGGCACAAACCTGTGCCAGTTCATTTTACAGGCTGAGGAGCTGCCAGTGTCCCAAGCACCCCGGGTCTGCCCAGCTGGCTCACTTGGGTGTTTTCTCTCTCTCTGGAGAGTCTATTTTTGATGCTCACTAGGCAAACAGAATGTTGGGTATCTGGTTTATTACCCCTGCTAGGTGCTCAACAGAGATCTTTTCCCTGCCCCTAGCAGCTCACATCCCCTACCAAGGAGCATAATCTCATTTGGGGCTCTAATCCTGTCCTCATCACTTGGTGATTCTGTCACATGTGGTGACTTCAAGTGGGTCACTCCTAAGTGATAGGATTAAATGACCAGGCAGTAAATCCTGTGACTCTTTGTGTGTTTTCAATTAGTTCCAGCTAATTCAGCCATTTCCATTCCTGAAGAGCCCTGACCACCACCATCTTTCCAGCTCACCTTGGTGGAGAGAAAACAAGCTTGCATTTGGGTCACAGCAGAAGGGAGCAGCAGCAGCAGGGCTGTTACAGCCCCAGTCTCTTGGCCAGGCAGTGCATCCATCAGATGGATCCTGGGCTTTTCACTGCCACCAGTCAGGTTTCAGTGTAAGCAGCTGGGACACACATGGCTGCAGCAAGGGGAGGCTCCAGTGGCTTGGAAGCAGCACCAGCCTTCTCCAGCAAATTTGTATGTACTCCCTTGCTGTCACCACACTCCCAGCACTTATCCTTCACCTGTCACCCTGAGCCTGCTACCACCTGCTGCTTTGCCATGTCCCCAGTCCACAACTCCTCTTTCCCTACTTGCTTTCCCAAAAATCTGCCCAGCCCTGCCATTGACACCTGACTTTCTACAACCCACTCATCACCAGTTTTACACTCTCCTCCAGCTCTCTCACTCTCTCTTTCAAGCTCCTGGGTTTCCCAGATCCTGTTTGGATGTATCCTTTATTCCCCACCCTGAACAAACCAATTCTACCAAACAGACCCACATCTTTCCCCATCTGAATACAAACTGTGCTCCCAACCACTTAACCATCCCCAAGCTGCAGCCTGAACTCATCTTTTCAAATGAGATTTGGAGAAAACATCCCATGCCAACAGATCAGTGTACTCAGAGGTTTCTGCTAGTGTACCTTCCCCTGCCTTTGTGCTGCCCTTCTGCAGGTAAGGTGGCAGAGCAGTTGGTGCTGTGGCCCCTTGCGTGCTCGCTTTTGCACAGGGGAGTGGGGCACAGCGTGGTGCTGGCAGTGGGTGCAGAGCCTTGGCAGGAGAAGACAAATGAGGTGGAGGGAGCAGGCACACATGACTGGTGTCAGTGAAAAGCCCATTTGTGCCTAATAAGTCTGAGGAGCAGCCCAGGAGCCTCTCATGCGTGGGGAATGTGGCTCATGGGGAGCCAGCAGTCGCTGCTCATATCACTCAAAGGAGCAGACAGGCAGGGGGGCTCAGGGTGTGCATCCACCTGCTGAACCAACCCCAGCACTGCAGCCTCAGCAGCTCCCAAACCACCTCTCTGGGCTGGCATTTCTACTCTATTCATTTCTATTTCCAGCTTTGGGCTCACCTTCCCCTGGAGGGTTATAGCTTCATTACCTTAAGGCCCTTTAGCCCAAGAAATTTATCAGGAAGTTTTTCAGTGCATTTGCTGGTTTTTAAACCAGGACACTGGTGATGATTTAGGCTTTAACCTCTTCAGACAAACAGCATCTTTTAAGTAATTTCTAGTATCCAGCTGGTGTAGCCAGTGCAATTGCCTGAAAATCAATATTTAGATCCCTAATTTACCATGCGATTTTAGACTTATTTACTGTGGATACCAGGAGAAAAATACTTGTGTGGGAGAGACATGCTGCCTTTTGTGACATAACAGTGGAGAGCTGCACTTCTACTTGAATTGGGAGAGAGGAGGCAGGGGTGGGGAGGATCCTTTCCCCTAAGATGCTTGATAAAGCCTCTTTGTAATGATTAGATCCCAATGCTCAGAGGGAGAGTGCTCCTTTGCTGAGCAAACATATGGGAGCAAGGTTCTGACCAATCTGCTTAGCACCACATCTGTGATGGCCACATCTTGTGCTCTCATCAGTAACATGCCTAGAGCTGCAGAGGTCAGGAGTGATTTAGAGTTCACAGACTGAGAAGCCTTTGGGGACACTTTACTGTTATCTCAGGGGGGCTGAGCTTGTTGCTTTTGAAAGTAGTTTCTTTTAAAGGATCTCCATTTGGGATCCAAAATCAAAGATCTTGGAGCTATTTTATGCCAATAAAGAGGAACAACAAATGGCTTTCTTGAAATATATGGTAGTATGCCACTGATTACAGTACTTTGTGAAGTGTTCTTGTGATGTGTGATGCATCTTTTATTCAGAAGTCTTTAAGAATCTGTTTTTCACAAATCTATAGAATCCCAGTGCTGTTTGAGTTACAATCCAGGTAACTCTTTCTAGTTTCTTTTTCAAGCTGGCTGTTTGGTTGGTGTCTCCAACAAGCAAACAACACTCACTGAATGCAAAGGACAGCAGAACCAAAAAATAAATTTATACAGAGAGACTAGTGTGGGAGAAGCAATAACAAAGAGTTCCCTGGAGAGGAAATTAACTGCACAAACAAAAAGGGTGGATGAAAATATGTTTCCACCATCAACATTAATGTCAGCTGGTTTCCCTTTGAGTCTTTATTACTGTCTGACATTTCCAAACAGGTAGCTCTTCCAGACTAGGCATGGCACACAGGCCCTGGCCATAAATAAGGATATTGCTTGTGGAATGTTTGTGTTCAAATGGTGGCAGAAGCAATTTACTGCTTCACTCATGCCTGTGCTCAGACCATAAAGCTGATGGTTCTGCTCAGGGCCTGCCTGCAGCCAGACATGAAGAAGCTTCTGTGTGCAAACTCCTGCTCACTGCTGTGAGCATTTCCCCACTGTCACCCTACTGCTCAGGGGAACTGTCAGTCACCAGGACTAAAATGACTGCCACGTGTCCCTCACATAATCCTGTGCCTAAATTAGTCATTAGGCCTGACACTGGGGATTTCTCCAGTGGGAAGCATCAATCAAGTGCAAGGAGTGGAGTAGCAGCCCATTGTGTTTATAATTTGCTTTACTCTTTAAAAACACCTGTTGGGTGACACCTTGTCAGCTGGGGTGGTTATGGAGTGGTTTCTCCATCTCTCTGGGAAGCTGAGGAAGGGAGGACCTATGTTCAGAGGGGTAGTCCACAGGTGGGTGTCCCTGCTTTTATGCGTACATGAGTCCCTGCACATGGTGCCCAGTGTCATGCTCATGTCTCACCTCGATTACTTATGCTTCAAATAGATCTTATTCTCAAAGCTTTTATGTGTGTTGCCACAATGGCTCTCTTTTTTCCCTTTGCTAGGTCTCTCAGCTACTCCATTTACACTTGTATTGGGACCAGAAAAAAGGGCAGGTAATCTGCTGAGTGCTTTTACTAACCCCTAACTAATGTCTGCTCCCTGTTAGATGTGTTGTTAGACTAGCTGTTAGACTAGTTTGGACTGTTTTCAGCTGAGATTGGTCTGAGGCCAAATGCTGTCTGCTCTGCTTCCAGTGGGTAGATCCTGCGTGCTGAGCTTTAAAAGCCTGTCCTTGATCTCATCAGCAAATTGCCTTCCAAGTCCTCTGCTGGCAGTTGAAGAGACTCCAGCTCCAGGCAGGGAGCTTTTACATGGAACACTGATTTAACTGGGCTGATTGCTGCTGATTGCTGGGCCAAGCTGCTGTGTTTGCTGTTGTGTTCTCACTAATGGATGAAGGGAGCCTCTCTCCCTCTGCTGTGATCCCTGTGAGGATGGTTGGGGTTGCAGTGGAGCTTTTGAAGGATCTCTGACAGGTGTGGCTGGGGCAGTCCTGCTGACACCATGGCCACAGCTGGCATCCTGGGAACGTGCACTGCACCTTGCAGTGGGCACTGGCAGGATGGAGGCTGCAACGTGCATGCAGACATCTGTGGGGATGAACTGCTAACCACACTTACAGCAAAAAGAGAGGAGAACATTAAAAGATTGAGGATTTTGCTGGAAGTGTGCTCAATGTGACTTAGTGTTCCCTTGCTTGTCCATTAACTGCTGATCCTAAGAGGCAAAAGGCCAGGAGGGGCCATCCTGCATTAACACTGATTGCATTAAAAGCTTCTCTTTTGTGACTTGGCAGTTTTGGGTTCCTGATTTTTCATGCTGTGTCATAGTTTCCACAGCTGCAAAATGGAATTTGTAGGTATTAGAGGTGTTTTGAAGCCTAAATAATGTTTACAGAATTATTTTATATTTTCAGACTGAAGGAATGATAAAATCTAGACACTGTTATTTGTTTATATTTAGATCATATTCAATGGGGCTGTTATATAAATTGCATACTTTTAAATTTTGTGCTTAATTTTATGTACTTTAGCTACCTACATACATGAAGTATTTATAATGAATAATTCAATTGAATATAAGCCCAGTTTTCCCCAGACTCCTAAATGCATGTTCTTCTAAAAAGTTTTAGTTCAAATGGGAATGCAGAGACTGACTATGAAGTGGTAAAATAAATTAAAACAGTTCCAGCTCTTTCTGATAGAGTGCCTTTTACAGTGCTTGCCACAATGCAGATGTCAGGTTTTTGTGTTTCTGATCCATCCAGGCAAATACTGGTTGCATTAGTGGTTGTGCTCTGGACCCAGAGAGGCTGATGTTTGTTTTTGGAGATGATGGTGGTGATGTCTGCAACATGAGGAGGAAGGCAGTGTGCAGGTTGCTGGCTCTGGAAGCTCAGGGTTTTCATACTGTTTTGTCACAGTCTTTAAAGCAAAAAGGGGAGAATGTGCTAGATGTGGGTGAGGAAAGAATGTCTATATTACTGTCATTTTGACCAAATGAGGCAGATATACTTAAATTAGCTTTAGATTAATTACTGTGCCATGTGGATGGGAGCTTTAATTTCACTTAGAATCACAAATGAGCTTCTGCAGCTTGACTTGGTGGCCAATGCCTTCAAACTGTTGGTGCAGTCATGAATCTAAATAAGGTTGATACCAAGTGATAGCAGGGACTGTGCAGTGACATTACCATGTCCTTTTTAGTATTTGTCTTTTATCCTATTCAGTAGCACTGAGCCCTGGCTCTTCTCTGTAAAAAGAGAACTCGTGAGGTTGGTAGATCCTGGGGGTAAAAGAGGCAGAGGAAGCCTGAAGAGCTCCACTTTCAGTTTGTGCTGTACCTTCACCTATGGGCAAGATGAGATGGATTTGGGGACAGATGCACTATAGTGATCAGGGAACAGAGAGACACCTGTTCCTACCTGTAGCCCCCAAAACCTCACTGTCTGTAAAATCAGAAGTGCCATGCCCACAGGGATGGTCCATATCTTAAGTGAAGATGGATGAGAAATTGAGTCCAGAAAGGGAGTCTTGTGCCCAGGGAAGTTAAGGCTCAGTTTTCCAGCACCATTTCATGTTTGTGTCCTCTAAAGTCCCAAAAACACAGGTGCCACACTGACAGCACAATCATCCTTGCAACTGTTGGTGTTCAGTGAGGAGGAGAGAGAGGTGGTGTCATCACAGCCCTCCCAGTCACAATTTTCAGAAGGCTTTGTAATAACATTGAGCTGCTCCTCTGCTGACACAGTGAAATGGTGTTACCACAGCTACTGTCATGATGTTACTGCTGTCACACTCCCCAGGATAAAACTAGCCCAGATCTGTGGGCCTTTGCTGTTCTTGGAATTTCTGATATTAAAAAAAATGTTTCATAGAATGGTAGGAACAGTAACAATAATATTTTGCTATTACCTGTTTTATAAACCATCTTTATTTTTGCTGTTAGAAACTCAGATTAAAGCAAAAAATTAGGAAAAGGCAATTTTAGTTCTTTTTTCTCCTGGAGAAAATCAAAGTTGTTTAGTTCAGCTGCTTTAGTCTGTGCTCAAGGCTCTGTTGTAACAGACCCATAGATGACAGGCACATATCAGGCCCCTGTTTCAAAGCTCTCCTGGGGCCTTTGATCATTCTCTACTGCTATATCACAAGGTGCACTGCAAGAATATTAACACATCTTCTTCATTTTCAGTGTGTTGGTGTCATCTTCCCTGCCAGCTTGGTCTGACACATGAATCTCATCTCTAACCTGACCCATGTCCACGTACATAAATTGCTGGCTGGAATGAAATGGAATTTGGGTTAGCTGGCTGAGCAGAGCAGCTGGGGGGAGGTGAAAAGCCTGAGCCCTGCTGACACTTGAGCTGGGTGTGAGGGAGGAATACAGCACTCGAGTTACAGTTCATCAGCTGCTAACCCTCTGGCTTTGCTGGCCAGTCATTCTGCAATAGCAAAATATTATTTAATAGTCAGATTGCTCTCACTGGAGATCTGTCTGCTGTAATCAGGCTGCAGGGTAGGATATCTTGGCTTTGAATCAGTCACTGAGAATAGGGTGTCTGTGCAGGAATTCAGTGCAGGTTCCAAAACCCATCCAGAGCTGCACTGAGCTCTGGGCAGCTGAGATCTCACTCAGCTGACCAGCCACGCAAGGCAACTGCAGTTAGCAGCCCAGTAACATTTGCAGAATAAATGTGGCTTACACTGGCCCAAGAAGAGTAACTGGAGATGCCTCTTGGAGTGAGAACACACCCCAAGAGTGGCTCAGCCACTAGCAAACTCACCTTGGCAGGAGTAGCCAAAATTCAGGCATCAACTCTTGTGCCAGGCTGGAGAATGTGAGGGCAGAGGTGAGAGTTTAGCAAAATATAAGTTATAAGGACTCCACTGCCATGCATGTGAAATTAGCAACATGTCTTGGTATATCAGCAAAGAAGCTTATTTAAAATTTAAAATGCTTTCAAGAGTAGAATAGGCTAGTGGGAAAGAGCAAAGTAAGTCTGCTGCTTCTCTGTAATAGTCTGTAGGAAAGCTAAATGTGGAGTTGAGAAGGAAGTTTGAACTCAATTTTCTTGTATAGAAAGCTTCAGGCTGGAAAGTTGGAGATTACTGGTCTGTCACTTGTCTTGAATGTAAAAAGTGCAGACTGTCACAGCGACTGTAGCTATCAGCTCTGATGCCCTCTCTGCTTACACACTCTAAAAGTAAGGTTGCTTTATCTTTTTGTTAAACAGGACAATATTTACTGTCTGTTATTTGCTTTCTTTCTGATTTCATCTCAGTGAAAGCATCCATTGAATTTTTCCTAATTTACAGTTGCAAAAAGAATGTTAGAATCAGGTTCTATGTGTTTACTTCAGTATTTTTTTCAAGACTATATGCTCTGAAGTATCTTTCAGATCCTCCCCCTCAATACAATGTTAAAACATAAAATTTATGTAATTTATGTAATCAGTTATGCAATTTATATTCGGAATGTCATTTGATGTAGCTTAAAGTCTTAATGTCACTTAATGTGGCTCAAAAATTCCATTATTCTGTATGTATTGAATTTGCTGGTGTTCCTACTTTATGCTTGTCATGTTGTATGAGGGTTTCAGAATACTTACAGTCAGCCTTTTGATGGGATGCAGTTTTAATGGAAAGTGTCACTTAACCAACCCATCCTTTACAGTTTAATTCCTTTCATCAAGGGATATCTTTGTAGTCAGATTGAAAACTAGTGTAAAAAGAAAGAAAGGTATTCCATTAGTTAATTTCTCCATTAAGCTGCATGAAAAAAAAAAAAGCATTGTCGTATTTCTTGGAATTTAACAATATATTTTTATTAGTTTAAAATTTCAAATTTTCTGTGCTCTGGAAATGTTGTTGCTGAGATTGGCTGGGTGAATATAATCATAAATGATTAACTTTAAAAGGGAATTATTTTGATGCAGGCCATTTAATTGTGATTCTGAAGTCAAGCATCTGACTCATACCTAGTGAAGAAAAGTACCTACTAGAAAGATAAAGCAACATCCTGCTCCTTTACACATGGCCAAGGCTGCTCTGTGCTCAGATCACTGCAATGAAGAATCAGAGATGTTTCCATAGAACCACTCCAAAAGGAAGAGCCAAGAGATGGAATGATGCTTTTAGCAACACATTTTGTCATCTCTAGGTCACTAGACCACACAATATTTTTTTTCTTCCTATTGTCCTGATGGATTTCAACGAGAAAGACAGCAAAAAGTCTCAAAAATGTTGGATCTAACTTTGTGTTATTTACTTGCTTTTCTAACTAGGGACAGGGAGCCCTGTCTGAGAGACTACGGAGCTTCAGCATGCAGGATCTCTCGACGATTCGTGGAGACAGCAGCAGCACTGTTCCTCCTTCGGTCACTGTACGAACAAGTAGCAAACAGAGCCACCCAAAACCATCCAGAAGTGCATCAGAAGGCACTGGCAGCTCAGGTAAGTGCCAGAGTTATTTTCAGTGTTGTGCTGTCTGGAATATCACACCGTTCAATGAAGTCATGCCCTTGGCAGGAGCAGAGAGAAATGGACACTGCAGGCAGCACATACCAGAATTCCCAGGACACAGACATGCTCTGAGTCTCTTGGCACTTAGGAGAAAGAAACAGCATCATCATTTGATGGTTACTATTCCTGGCTGGTACCAAGGGTGGGACTTGAGTGTTCAGAGAAACCAGACTCAGTCTTTGCAACCTGAGCTGGAAAGTTGGGCTGGGGGCTGCAAGCCATGCTGAAAAAACTGTGTCCTAAGGACAATGGTTTGTTTTGTAAGTCTGAAATAACAAAGGGAAGAAATATCATGCTGTAAATAAGATCCATTCCTGAGGATTCAGTTAAAAAATTTATTTCAAGCTTCATTAAAGAAATATTTTTGAGTCCAAATCCAAAACTTTTAATTGGAGATAGTTTTGCAGATTAGATCTCAAGAATTGAGACATGGAGGGTTATCCCAAGCAGGTGGCTCCAGATGGTTTCTGGGATTCCTACACACCATCAAAGATCACCCAACTCCAGTGCTGTGATGAGAAGCCAAGGAAAGTTGCAGGCATGTTGCACTTGGTAGCTTGTGAAACATGCTGGCAAGTCAGAAATTCAGCAGTTTCAACTTGTGTGTGTTGAGGTCTGTGCAAACACTTGCAGTGTTTCAAGCCTGGGTAGTTGCTACCCTTTCTAATTTGCTTTAGTTTTGGAATGGTATTAGAAATGTCATGTTTCATCCTTCCAAAGGAGTATCCTTCAAGCCTTTGACAAATTCTGTGAATCAGACTTTTCCTTTTTTAAAATATTGTCTCTTGAATGCACTTTCTTTATGGGCAAACTGAAATATTGGTGCACAGTGGTTTTATTCTCATCTTTAGATAAGGTCTTGTGTACACTTCTCTTGAAGTAATCGATCTGAAAATAAAGTATTCACACACAGAATATAAAAGTCCTTAAAAGGCCATGTATTTAGATAAAACTAAATAATGACATCAATAAACCATAATTTAGTTATCTTAATTCCACATTGAGTAGAGCAGCCTTTGTAGTTTTGCTCTTGAGACAGTGAAGTCAGCTCACCTGGCCACAAACCCCTTTCTCAAGACACAAGACTTTTTTATTTTGGTCTTGTTTTGCATCTATAGTGTAAGGATCTCTCAGAATGAATCTCTGAAAAATTGCTCATAAACATTTTTAACTCAGCCTAAGTGTTTATCACAAATTTTGTATTTCAAGTAATTTGAGATTTTGGGTTTATTTTTTTTTAATGGAAACTGCACAAATTTGCAAATTTTTCCAAGACCGCTATCTGTCCCATCTCACTTGGTGATTTCATGGAGGTGCCTAATTCTCCACCTGCAGAGAATACAGATTCCTCTTGCAGGTGGTGGGAGACTCCAGCCACGAGCTTTGCTCTCACTTTTGATCACATGGAGTGAAAGATAACAGTTCTGCTCTCTCCAGTCCTTGTGCTGTTTCATGTGGGCACCACTTTGTGTGTAGTCAGAATGTCTGGAGGGGAGAATTCAACTGGGGTGTGTGTGTGTGTGTGTGTGTGTGTAAGATTGTGATGTGTCAACCAAACTGTGTCACATCCTGAGGGCCATATTCTGGTGAGATGACACTGCTCTAGGCACACAAAGCCCAGACGTAGTTCCATCATTCCACCTTTCATATTTGTTTAGTTGGAGAGCTGGACATAAGCAAGGGATAGACAGAATTTGCCTCTGCCCATTAGTGTGCTATATATACGTGTAATGTATGTATATGTGAGAATGTGCATGAGCAGTCAGTACACAACAGCAGACACACAGCCCTTTCTCCTGTCTCAAAGCCCTCAGATGACATAAATGTCCCTGTCAGATATCCCCACTGCCTCACAGAAACATTGAACTCTTTTTTTTACCTGCTTTAGAAAGAGTGGGACATAGTCAATATGACATCATATGGAGTCATCAAAAATGACCCAGACTATGTGTTGCATGAGGATGTTCACATTTTAAACAGACAACTTGTGAATTACAGAACCTGTGTGGTACTTCTATTTTCCTGATGATCTATCACCTCTTACATCAGCCACCTGTTACCCAAAGCAGACTTAAAGTAGATAATTTTGGTTTGATATTTTTTTCTTTTTAGAGGTATTCTCCTCTTTTTTTCCTTCCTTTCTAGTCCCACTGCAAATCCACAAATTGTATTTAGCAACATTAAAAAAAACCAACAAGAAAAGGAAACATCTTACCCTTTCCTTCTGTAAATGCTTCATTCCCAGTGTTCTAAGAGAAACCTTGAAACAGGAGGATAATGATTCCCAAAACACAACCTAAAGTTTTATATAATTCAAAGGAGGCTTATGTTGATTGTCCTTGACTGCTGCCAGCTAGAATTGTGCCTGCTCCTTGATCTCCTTGTGACCACACTAATAAAGGGGATTAGCTGAGGGCTGGACTTAAAGGTTATGCTCAGAGTGGAAAACACAGAGCCATGTTCTTATCTGGTGTGTTTGCTTTGACTGACAACACAGCAGAGCTCAGTTTCTGAGGGATAATAGCCTTGCTATTTTAGAATTTTAGATTAAGCACTCAGGAAAGAAACACACACCAAAAACACCATCCCTTTTTGATGAGAGCTCTGAAACTCATATGGTTAGAATTAAGGTATAGCTGTAACAATGATGTCTGAATACAAAAATGCATGTTAACTAAATTAGCCAATGAAAGCTAAACCCCTGTCATCACACAGGACCTGCCATGGAGGATGCTGAGAGCTGACCCCACTAGAGACAAGAGAGGGCTCTTTAGAGTTGAGCTTAGAGTTGTTTATATGGCCCCATTCCCTGAGCAGTGGACACAGCCAGACCTGGTGTTGCTGGTTCCAATCCTGTTACGTGACTGTTGTGTTTAAGAGCAGATGTGATATCTGAATTAAAGTGTTTTGGAAAGACAGGGGGATAGGTAGAGGTCTATTGTCTAAAATTCATGCTAAAATTCAGATTTGTTGGTATTAAACCCCCCTGTGAGCACCAGCAGTGGTTCAGGTTCTGGTTTCACAACCCTTGGGCATGTTTCCAAGCCCACTGAAGTGTGAGAAAAGGCTCTCCTGACACCAGTGGGCTGTGTCTGTAGCCAATAGCTGGCTGTAGGACCAGGCTACACAAACTCAGCCTGTTTTGTTTCCACTGTTGTTATTTTTGTAATGTGAATGGTGCTGCTTAGATGGATTTGTGATTCTTTGAATCCCCTCTTGACACAAAGCACTGAGTGAAGAGTTTGCCATTTAGTAACAACCTCACGCACATACAGCAATGGGGTTTTTTTGCCTGCTGAAGTCTTATGAGGCCAAGAAATAGAATAAACACAAGACAAGGGAAATTGCTCCTTTTCCTCTGCACTTTGCTATTTTTTTGCCCCTTCTACCTTTTGCTGTCTTTGCTGCCTTCCAGTGGTGCCTGTCCACTGTGCAGTTGTGCTGTGAGGATGGTCCTGCAGGAGTGGGACTGCTCACACACAGTGGGCTCTTGGTGTGCTCACACAGAAGGACCCTTCTCCTCCTCTCACACCCAGCCAAAAGCCATACCCAGATGACATGAAGAGGCAGAGGCTGCTTTTGGGATGATTTGTGGGTGGCTGCTGACCCCACAAACAGCACATCCCATGAGGCACCAGCCCCAGGGAAGCATGCACAACTTCCTTTGATGGGCACCAAGGACACATTATGAGCCCCTCCTTCCACATAGCAGGCCCACCACCTCTTCATCTGATTTTTCACTTCACTCTTGGTTCAGCATCTCTCAGTTTATTTTCCTGGCACCCAGATGATGGACTGTGGCATTTTACTTCGGTGTCTGTACCAACCTGTGCCCTTTCCACAGGCAGAACTGCCTCTTTCCTTTGAGAACTGTAAATGTCATGTGGCTGTGCATTGTTATGGAAAACTGTAAATTCCAGAACAATATTTCCAAATATTTCTCAAGGGAATCCTGTTGTTCTGGCAAATGTCCAGTAACAATCCACATACAGACTTGTCCTTATTAACAGGAGCTTTTGCACTTCTAAACCTTATAGTATGACCTTGATTTATGTTTCATCACAGGACAGTCAGTGTCCAGAGCTGATGCTGCCTGGGGCAGAGGATCACAAACAATGCAGCCACACTCTATATTGCCCAAACCCAGTGTTCTTTCTGCTTAAGCTTGTCCCAGGCTAAGATCATTCTATCTGGAATGATTTCAAAGCAGAAATGGACAGTGTGATTTCTGATACTCTCCATTCCTCTGAGCAGGAGAGAATCAAAGCTGGTTTTTTGGGCTTGTGCTGAAGGACCAAAGGCTTTGCAGTTCAGAGCAAAGGTGGGGGAACATCAAGAGTCAGGATATGTTTGGGTATTCAGCCACCATCAACCAGAAATGTGTGTGAGAACAACCCAGATATATGTTGTCTGAGCTCCCAGAGAGTTAACTGTCAAAAACTGTGATCAACTTCCTTCTGTATAAAATCAGAGGCTGAACCCACAGCAGATTTCTTGAGGAAACCCATAGTTTCACAGCAGCATCCAGCCAGTGAGAGTCAGCAGACCCACTAGAAGGGTGTAACGCAGCTGCTTGCCTCTGGCCCATCTGTCTTTTCCTTTGGATGCATTTAAATCTTATTTTTACATGCTGACCCCAGTCAAGGAATTGGTTCAAGTTTAATGCTATCCCTTGCTTCCAGGTAGAGAGCAGCAGCACAGACATCAGCAATGGGACCAGGAAAGTGGAGGCCAGAGTGCAAGGGACAGTGAGACATCTGCTCTCAATAGTGCTGCTTTAAAATGACTGTGAAACTATAGAAGAACTTCCAGTGTCTCCAGTGCAGGATAATTATAACTAAAAAATATCCCACGGAGCTCAAGCCCTTTTCCTCTTCAAAAACTTTCCTTAATGTGTAGTCATTGATGCCACTATGAGAATTAAATTGAAAGGCTCAAACTGGAAATTTAGGCTGTTTCCTGGAACACAAACTGTGCTCAGGATGAAGCTGTAACTTCCCATGTTCATGAACAGTTATGAATCACCTGCTTTCACTGAAGGGTGCAATGCAACTCCCTTGGTTGCTTTCATTCTTATGGCAATTCCATCAGGATATTAATTCCTGTAGGACCCTCCTGGTTTAGGAAGTTCAGGGATGTGTGTGGATAGATTTCTTTAGAAGCTGTGTGAGTGGTTGCAGCAGCCAGACTTCTAAGAGAATTCTAAATCCACTGAGAGAATCCAGGCACATAGCCTTACAAATCCCAGTATTGCACCCTGGGTTTGTTATCATACAGCCTTTTGCACTGGGTTATGCATCCATGGCTTATCCACACTCCCAGGTCCCTCCAGTCAGGAGTTATTTCTGTTCAGTGGCCTGAGAACTGCACCAGGGAGCTGAACCTAACCCCATCCTTAACACCCATATGGACACAGCCTGGCATGAGGCACATTCCTGAGCCTGTGCTCATGCTGGTCAGTGGAGACACTCATCTCCCTGTGCATAGCAGAGCCTTGAAGTGCACTTCAAAATGGTGCCAAGTGGTTTCTAAGAGCGAGTGGCTTCACCCACGAGTTCCTAACGCTGAGCTCCTCTTTCAGTGTGCACGTGTTGCTCGGTGTGCCGACTCCTCAGAGGTGAGTGCTGGATTTCCTGTGTCCTGGTATCCATGCATCCCTTTTGGGCATGGCTGCATTCCCCAGCCTGGCTTGCTCCTGATGCTCTTGCTCACTGGGTTTCCTAACACCAGGGGGGCAAAGCAGGGGAAGGCCAGGCTGTGAGCGGGTTTGGGAGCTGTGTGTGTGCTCATGGCAGTGCTTCTCACCATACTGACCTGTGTCACCCAAGGATGGGGATTGTTCCTCTGGAGAAGGACTTCATTCCCTTATCTTCTAGAGGATGTGCCATGTCCTTGCTGTGGAGTGTAACTTCTCTGCCCTGTGTCCCCCAGTGCTGGTAAATCCACTGAGAATCCAGCAAGAGCAGAACCTCCTCAGCCCCAGCCCTGTTTTGCTGTGTTCCCTAAGGATTGGCACATGTTTCTCCATTGGTGGAGAGGACATTTGTGCTTGGGGTGAACAGGGTATGTAGAAAATCCCAGCAGCAGACCCTGATAAGACAAAACAGACTTAAACTGACTCTCCCTGATTCAATCTCTGGCAGAAGCATTTTTGAAAAATGTCCCCACTGTCCCCAGCATTTATTGTGTTTACAAACGTCTGAGTGCAGTGAATGGTTTAGCTGCCGGTGGTCTTTTCAGTGCTGTGCCAGTTAGCTGGGTTGCTAAGAGCCCAGACATGTCACTTCTACATTTTTTCCCAGTGACAGATGAAAGGAGTGGGAGAACTCCAATTTGGGCATACCAGAGGATGGGGCTGCCAAGCAGCTTGTCTGGGGAGAAAAAAGAAATACAGACTGGCAGTGTCTCCTGTTGGTGGAAGCAAAAAAACCTTTGTAACTCTTTTTCTTCTCATCTCGTGTGCTTTTTGTGTATCTTGCACACTAATCAACCTGGAAACAGCAGCAGAAGGACTGAAGGATCACAGTGGTGCCACCTGTGCCTTCCACAGCCCTGCACCTGTGCCAGAACCCTGTGCAGAGTTGGTGCCTGGAGCCTGATGGTTCCATCCTAGCACAGCCTCCTTGCACCCTGCCTGGGTGGCAAACCCACCCTTCTATTTGATTTGTTGATTTCCTTTTCTGGGTGAGTGTGCCATTGTGCAGGACAATGAAGCACGTTTAAGGTGGTATCTGTTGAAACAACCATGAAACACTTGTATTCACAGGGCATTTTATTAGAACTCTTCTAATTTTAGCCTAACCTTATTTCATGGATTTGACTTCAAAGTGTTATTTATAAAAATAATCACTGAATCCTTATGGGCTTAACAGTAATGAGATAATCTTAGGAAAGTCTTTTAATGATGCTAAAGCAGCAATCAGTCCAACGTGTTTATGAATTAGACCCAAAGTAATTTGGATCTTGTTGGAATTGTGTACCCTGTCTTTCACCTTGGCTTGTTTTACTATTCCTGCCCTCTCTCCAGCATAATCCAGTCCCTTAGACCATGTCAGTGGGGATGTGCTGAGGCTCTGTGTCAAAGAGGGCTCATTCTGTCTCCACAGGCTGCCCTTTCTCTGTCTCCAGGGCAATAGATGCATTAATGCATGGTCAGACAGTGGCCTGCCATTAAAATGCTCCTTTGTAAGTGCATCTTTGGTAGCTTGGAGAGCTGACTAAGTCACGTGAACATTTTTCAGTGCCACAAAAAGCTGGGGGAAGAAAGAATCTAATTTTGTTTACTTTGGACTAAGTTGCCTGGAGCTATTGGCACTCGTCTTCTCTTGGTGCAAACTTGAGATCTAATAGCCAATTTCAGAGTCTCATCATTAACAGTTCTCATTTCCAAAGAGTTTATAATCTAAATGGGCAGATAGTCAAGTCTTTCCTCAAGCAGGGATATTAAAATCTGCTTTAGAGCCTTGGTGCAGTCTTTTTGGCAGGAGCAATTGCATTAATGCTCTTGTAACTCAATTACATCACTCTCTGACTCACAGAAACCTCCTCAGCTCTTAGGAGAGCACAGGCTGGTGGAGCTGAAGTCCAAGCATTCTGCTCCCTAGATTATACCCTGAGAGGAGGTGTCAGGAGGATGGGGCCTGCAGGTGCCATGGAATGTGCATTTCTACAGGGCCTGAAGGCCAGGCTGAGCCCCCTGAGCTGGAGCTGTCCCTGTCACCAGTGGTGGGATTCTCTGTGCCGATGGGCTCCTCTGCCATGGAGCAGAACATGGTTCCTGTCACCAGTGGTGGGATTCTCT